CACTATTTACAGGGCTCGCAGTGTAGTGTCTCAGTATTTACAGAGCTCCCAGTGTACTGTGTCAGTATTTACAGGGAATCCCAGTGTCGCGTGTCAGTATTTACAGGCCTGCCAGTGTAGTGTGTCAGTATTTACAGGGCTCCCAGTGTTGTGTCAGTGTTTACAGTGCTCCCAGTGTAGTGTGCCAGTATTTTCAGGGCTCCCAGTGTAGTGTGTCAGTGTTTATAGGGCTCCCAGTGTAGTTTGTCAGTATTTACAGGGGGTCCGAGTGTAGTGTGTCAGTATTTACAGTGCTCCCAGTGTAGTGTGTCAGTATTTACAGGGCTCCCAGTGCAGTGTCTCAGTATTTACAGGACTTCCAGTGTAGTGTGTCAGTGTTTACAGGGCTCCCAGTATAGTGTGTCAGTATTTACAGGGTTCACCTTGTAGTGTATCAGTGTTTACAGGGAATCCCAGTGTAGTGTGTCAGTATTTACAGGGCTCCCAGTGTAGTGTCCCAGTTTTTACAGGCCTCCCAGTGTCGTGTCAATATTTACAGGGCTCCCAGTGTAGTGCGTCACTATGTACAGGGAATCCCAGTGTAGTGCGTCAGTATTTACAGGGCCTCCCAGTGTAGTGTGTCTGTATTTACAGGGGATCCCAGTGTAGTGTGTCGGTATTTACAGGGCTCCCAGTGTAGTGTATCAGTATTTACCGGGCTCCCAGTGTAGTGTGTCAGTATTTCTAGGGCTCCCCGTTTAGTGTGTCAGTATTTACAGGAAATTCCAGTGTAGTGCGTCAGTATTTACAGGGGCTCCCAGTGTAGTGTGTCAGTATTTAGAAGGAATCCCCGGGCGGGGGGTGTGTAGGTATTTATAGAGAGTGTCCCTGATGCGGGGGTGTTACACAGCACTGCCAAACCCTGTAGCTAGGTCTGGATCAGGGCAGTAGACAGCGACCCTGTGTCTGACCTACCGAGTGAAACAGTGAGAGGCTGTTGCAGACTGATGTGATCCACACGGCAGGTGTAGGTGTCCCCACTGCCCCACTCCATCCGGATATATTTCAGGATGTTAAATGTCCAGTCTGGTTCCACCACTAACTGTGATGAGTTCACCTGGCCCCGAAACGGCCTCCCGTTGACCAGGAAATTCAGCTCAATCCCGAACGGATAGAATTTCTCTGCATAACAGTACAGGATGTCCGAATGTCCCGGGCCACCGTTCTGCTCCATGTAGATGTGCACAGACGGTTTCTCTGTCGGAGAAAGTGATCGCAGCGTTAATGACCGGCCGTTTGGTCCATTTTTCCTGATATCCCACAGGAACTGTGGTGTCCCTATGGAGTATGGGCCTCTCCCATTCTTCACCAACCCCAGGGTCAGTAGTGACAACCCTCCAACCACCTTCTCCATCAGACCAGCTGGGGGTAAGGCGGCACGGTGGGAATGCCTTGCCCTCTCAACACTCTTGGGGGGACAGTGTAGAGGGAGCTTTACTCTGTATCTAACCCTGTGGTGTCCCTGTTCTGGGAGTGTTTGATGGGGGGACAGTGTAGAGAGAGCTTTACTCTGTACCCAACCCTGTGCTGTTCCTGTCCTGGGATTGTTTGATAGTGGGACAGTGTAGAGGCAGCTTTACACTGCATCTAATCCCGTGCTGTCTCTGCCCTGGGAGTGTTTGATGGGGGGTGCGGAGAGTGTAGAGGGAGCTTTAATCTAACTCGGTGGTGTCCCTGTGCTTTTTGGGGGAAAATGTCAAGGAAACTTTACTCTGTATCTTCTCTGTAACAAAACAGACCATGCAGATCCGCTCTGGGATCTTGCTGTGCACTGGGGGTGTCCTCATGTCCAACGTACCCTCCACCATTGACTCTAGACTCCAGACTCCAGACTCCAAGCCCAGTGCCCTTGGCTAGGGGGCAGATCATCCCTCCCTTTGTAGACCGAATAGACCCATACATGTGAGAGAGAGGGAGAAGGGAGCTGGGGTTGTGTGCATGAAAATTATCAAAAGTGGCAGGACGGAGAGAGAGCAGTCAAAGAAGAACACAGTATCCCCCAGTTTCATTAATCGAGGCTGAGGTGGGAATGAAATCAGAGAACGTTATAGAAACTGGGCAGATCTTTCATGGTGGCGGGGGGGGGAAGAGAAGGAGATGATTAGCATTTTGAGTTCTTCCTGAGAGGGGGCGCCATTGACGGAGGAGGGACAGGTGGAGAAGATGTTGAGGGTGACCCAGACAAGACAAAGGGAGAGCTCACGGCAGTCAAGGAGTACTGGGGATGTAAAATGGGTGTTAATAGTCAAGGGCTTTGGTGAGGGTTGACCAGACACAGGTGAGGGAAGGGGGCACAGTAGAAAAACTGAAGAGGCAGCGAAGTCAACACTGAGTTCCGAAGGAGGTAAGGTCCCCAAGCAGAACGTGAGGGATTATCCCTCCAGCTTGTGTTGAGTTCCATCCAGACATTGGGGCTGTCTCAGGACAGAAACTCCCGCTGTCCAGGAGGTTGTGGGGGGGGGGGGGGGGGGGGTCATTCTTAGGATGCTGGTTCCGCCTCCACTGGAGGATTGCTTCCGGTTTCTGGGGCACCCCTCACCCCACAGCCCAACGTCCTCTGCGCTTTGGGTGAACACATTAAAGGGAGAGCGATTCATGGGAACAGTTCCCGGGACGAGGGGGAGGTCAGAGCAGGGAAGGTCAAAAGGGAGATCCCATTTGAGGTCTTGCCAAGCCACGACAGCGGTGGGGAGGGTGGGGTGCAGTCTGGGACAGCGTAAAGGGAGAGAAGCCGCTTCCCGTTGGTGGAAGCATTGAGAGTCAGAGAGGGAACAACATGAAGAGAAACATTTCCACACAGCGAGCGGTCGGGGTCTGGAACGTGTTGTCCGAGAGAGTGATGGGGGAGGTTTTTGAGGGGGAACTGGATGGTTATCACAAAGAGGAGGATGTTGTCGTGTGGGGAGGAGGCGGGAGAGTTGGATTGGACGAGGGGCTCATCAGGAGATTCAGTGCAGAGAACACGAGCTGTCGTACGAAAGGGATGTTACATGGATGCTGATGGGGGAGGCCTGGCGAATCTCAGCGTGTGCCCACTCTGTCTCACGCTGCACTGATCGTCCTGCTCCCTGGGGAACCAGCGACTTACTCTTGGTGATGGCAGTGAAGTTTGTCAAGTGGATCATCTCCCTGGTTGTGCCCCTTAGCCGGGCTTGGAAACCACGTGCTCTCTCATGGTAATAATCTACCTCCTCCTGACCCAGCTCCCGGATCCCGTCCGTCACTTGGCCATTGATAACGAACGTCTGTGCTCCGTAATTGTAGAACAGGAACGGGACGTAGTTTATGCTGAAAATGTCCAGGATGTTCTCGGAATGTGCAGTGTGGACGTAGTACACACTCTCTGTCACTGCGCTGACCTCTAGCCAGGAGAAAGGAATTTAAAAAAAGGTGTCAGAGCTTACCATTGTCCGAAACACTCACCCACTTACACACTCACCTGTTCATATCCTCAAATTCACCCCCTTACACACTCATGTTCACACCCTTACAAACCCAAATCCTTTCACACTCATTCTCATGTTCGCACACTTACACACGCATTCAAATGCTTACACACTCATGTTCACACCCTTACATGCTGAAACCGTCACACTCATGCTCACACCCTTACACACATTCAAGTTCTCACACACTCATACCTTTACACATTCAAACCCTTACACACACATTCAAGTTCTTACACACACACCTTTACAAACTCACATCTTTACACAACGCCTTACCCACTTACCTTCAAACTCGTACACACTCACACCCTTACACACACATTCAATCTCTTACACACACACATTCAATCTCTTACACACACACCCTTACATGCACTCACAATCTTACACACACTCAAACTCTTACACACTAACACCCTTTACACACTTGTACCTTTACATACTCAAACTCTCACACTCACACCTTTTACACACTCACATTCAAACTCTTACACACACCGTTACACACACAAACTCTTACACACTCACACTGTTCCACAACCCATTGAAACACTTGCACACTTGCAGTTTAAAATTGCAACTCTAACACACTCAGTCTTACACTCACACATATTCTCTTACACACAGACTTTCACACTCTTACACACTGACATGTTTATGGACACACACTCCTACACACTCGCTCTTACATTTGCACATTCTCTCACACTCATACTCACTCACTACCACATTCACACTCCATCTCACTCCCATGCTCAGATTCACACACACGTGCACTCACACTACAACGTACACGGCTACGGGCCAAGTGCGGGGAAATGGGATTGGAACAGATAGATGCTGGAGGACTGGCATGGACAGAATGGGCCAAAGGGCCTGTTAAAAACTCTGTAACTCACCAATCTGTGCCCTGACTGCCGTCGCCAGGATGAGAAGGCAGATCCCGCAGAATTCCATGGCGCGTGAGCGTGTGGGTCCCTCTCCTGCGCGCTCCCAGATGGTGCGATGGGAATCGGAGGGTCGCTCAGAGGCAGATCGATAGGGTTGAGCTTTACCTGACGCCGTGATTCAGCACTGTAACTGAATCTCAGCACCAACACACACACCCCGCACAGTTTCACCCCCGCCGTCAGCTAGCTCATTTCACAATCCTGGATATTTTAATCTGACACTTGGCTCCCATCCAGACAAACAGGTTCTGTGGGAACGAAGCACATTTCAAAGCACTGGGGGAATTTTGCAAAGCATCAGCGTAAGGATAGGGAGGAGAGAGGGGGATCTCAAAGATACTGGGGGAGGGGAGGAGATCTAACTCAAGGGGAATCTGTGAGGGAGTAGAGAGGGAGAGAACCCTTTCCCGTTGCTGGAAGCATCGAGACTCAACAGGGGTGGGGGGGTGCCAGGCACAGACTGATGGTGACAGGGACAGGGGACAGTGAGGGGTTGATGTCTGCCTGAGGCTGCCCACGGGAATGAGGGGCAGGGGGAGGCAGGTTCGATCCAGGCCCTCACAAGAGGGGGGGATAGGATCGTCCACTGCCAGACCGAATGGACGTCATCTGCTCTGGATGAGTGGCGGGATTCGCTGGTGGAGAGTGAGAGAAAGGGGCCAGTTGGAGCAAGAATGCCAGGAGGTCAGCCAATGGAAGGTTGGGGACATTCAGACTGAGAAGGGGGCACGTGCGGGTGCGGGTTCCTTGGTCAAGCGGGAGAGTGGGGGATGGGTGTGCAAAATGTATCCAGGAGTGACTCTTCTGCCCTGAAAATGGGCTGATTGTTCACAACGAGGTGGAAGGAGAGACCTGTCAGGAGCTGTTGAAAAGAGAGCATCAGCGTGCCTGAGGAGGAGCGGTGGG